AAATTATCTGAAGCTTACAGTAAGTAGCTTGGATCAAAGTCTGGATCAATCTCCACACAGAATGGTCGGTCATTACCAAATACAAGACAAATAGATTCAGAAATTCTTGGTTGGAACCTTTTCTCCGACCCTTTTTTCCGCTCAGTCTCTTGAAGGATAAGAAGGTAACACATCTGACTCGTCTTTCAAAAGAACCACAGAATACACAGAAAAGGGGATTTGGCAAATTAATTTGTGAATCTTGACTAAAACACATTCAAAAAGGATATGTATAAGTGCTGAAACCGGTGAATGTGACTTGAAATACAGCAAAACAGTTTGATGAAAGGCTAAACAGTGCGTTGCTAGGTAACTAACACGCTCTCTTCTTTGGTGGAAAATCACTTCACACAATATCACCCAGAACGAAAAAAACTACACTTTAGTTCACAAAGTTGGAAAGTTGGAAAGACCGAAAATGTACATACTGTACGGCGAGTCAGTACTCTCCTAGAACTAAAAACCGTCAAATTGACTGCTCGAGTGTGAAGTAACATAAGGTGGAAACGGCCTGTTGCATCTAGAACACAAACATGCTCACTTAAGGTGGACTGGTTTTATTTAGATAGAAAGATCCCGATAGAGCCCGTCCACCTCGATCTCCTCCTCTCTCCTCCCTTCTCTCTCCTCTCTCCTCTCTCATCCCTCCTCTCTCTTCTCTCCTCCCTCCTCTCTCCTCCCTCTTCCAGTCTACCTCCTCTCTCCTCTCTCCTCTCTCCTCCCTCCTCTCTCCTCCCTCCTCCCTCTTCTCACCTCCCTCCTCTCTCCTCTCCTCCCTCCTCTCTCTCCTCTCTCCTCCCTCCTCTCTCCTCTCTCCTCCCTCCTCTCTCCTCCCTCTTCTCTCTCCTCCCTCTCTCTCCTCCCTCCTCTCTCCTCCCTCTCTCCAGTCTCCCTCCTCTCTCCACTCTCCTCCCTCCTCTCTCCTCCCTCCCTCCACCTCTTCTCTCCTCCCTCCTCTCTCCTCTCCTCCCTCCTCTCTCCTCCATTCTCTCTCCTCCCTCCTCTCTCCTCCCTTCCTCTCTCCTCCCTCCTCTCTCCCCTCCTTCTCTCCTCCCTCCTCTCTCATCCCTCCTCTCTCCTCCCTCCTCTCTCCTCCCTTCTCTCTCCTCCCTCCTCTCTCTCTCCTCCTCTCTCTCCTCCCTCCTCTCTCCTCCTCTCTCCTCCCTCCTCCCTTCTCTCTCCTCTCTCCTCCCTTCTCTCTCCTCTCTCTCTCCCTCCTCTCTCCTCCCTTCTCTCTCTCCTCTCTCCTCCCTCCTCTCTCTATCCCTCCTCTCTCCTCCTCTCTCCTCCCTCCTCTCTCCCTCCTTTCTCCTCCCTCCTCTCTCATCCCTCCTCTCTCCTCCCTCCTCCCTTCTCTCTCCTCTCTCCTCCCTCCTCTCTCCTCCCTTCTCTCTCCTCTCTCCTCCCTCCTCTCTCATCCCTCCTCTCTCCTCCCTTCTCTCTCCTCCCTCCTCTCTCCCTCCTTTCTCCTCCCTCCTCTCTCCTCCCTCCTCTCTCCTCCCTCCTCCCTCCTCCCTTCTCTCTCCTCTCTCCTCCCTCCTCTCTCCTCTCTCCTCCCTCCTCTCTCCTCCCTTCTCTCTCCTCTCTCATCCCTCCTCTCTCCTCCCTCCTCCCTCCTCTCTCCTCCCTTCTCTCTCCTCCCTCCTCTCTCTCCCTCCTCCTCTCTCCTCCCTCCTCTCTCATCCCTCCTCTCTCCTCCTCTCTCCTCCCTCCTCTCTCCTCTCTCCTCCCTTCTCTCTCCTCCCTTCTCCCTCCTCTCTCCTCTCTCCTCCCTCCTCTCTCCTCCCTCCTCTCTCCTCCCTTCTCTCTCCTCTCTCCTCCCTCCTCCCTCCTCTCTCCTCCCTTCTCTCTCCTCCCTCCTCTATCCTCTCTCCTACCTTTTCTCTCATCTCTCCTCCCTCCTCTCTCCTCCTTCCTACCTCCTCCCTCCTCTCTTTTCTCCTCTCTCCTCCCTCCTCTCTCTTCCCTTCTCTCTCCTCCCTCCTCTTTCCTCCCTCCTCTCTCTCCCTCCTCTCTCCTCCCTCCTCTCTCTCCCTCCTCTCTCCTCCCTCCTCTCTCATCCCTCCTCTCTCCTCCCTTCTCTCTCCTCTCTCCTCCCTTCTCTCTCCTCCCTCCTCTTTCCTCCCTCCTCTCTCTCCCTCCTCTCTCATCCCTCTTCTCTCCTCTATCCTCTCTCCTCTCTCCTCTCTCCTCCCTCCTCTCTCCTCCCTCCTACCTCCTCCCCCCTCTCTCCTCCCTCCTCCCTCCTCTCTCCTCCCCTTCTCTCTCCTCCCTCCTCTTTCCTCCCTCCTCTCTCTCCCTCCTCTCTCATCCCTCCTCTCTCCTCTATCCTCTCTCCTCCCTTCTCTCTCCTCTCTCCTCCCTCCTCTCTCCTCCCTCCTACCTCCTCCCTCCTCTCTTTTCTCCTCTCTCCTCCCTTCTTTCTCCTCTCTCCTCCCTTCTCTCTCCTCCCTCCTCTTTCCTCCCTCCTCTCTCTCCCTCCTCTCTCCTCTCTCCTCTCTCCTCCCACCTCTATCCTCTCTCCTCCCACCTCTATCCTCTCTCCTCCCTTCACTCTCCTCTCTCCTCTTTCCTCTCTCCTCCCTCCTCTCTCCTCCCTCCTCTCTCCTCCCTCCTACCTCCTCCCTCCTCTCTTTTCTCCTCCCTCCTCTCTCCTCCCTTCTCTCTCCTCCCTCCTCTTTCCTCCCTCCTCTCTCTCCCTCCTCTCTCCTCTCTCCTCTCTCCTCCCTCCTCCCTCCTCCTCCCTCCGTGTGTTTCTCTCGTACATACACTGCCACCATCGTCATGGACTTCATCCGTCATTGTCTTTAGCTCCATGCAGCTGCGCCGTAAATAAATGTAAAGTTTGTCCGAGAGAGAGCAAATTAAAGTGTTGTGTAATCTCCGTGTCTGGATCTGTGACGTACGAGGTCTGAGGCTGTGGTCAGCGACACCTGGAGGGAACCTTCTCTGAGCTGATTTCTGCTGATTCAAATGTAGATGATGTGAACATTGATGATGAGAGAAATGCTAGAACCTGCATTAAAGTTATTCTGCTTGTCTGAGGGGAAAAGAAGGAAAGGCCAGTCCCTGTGCTCCTCAGAGTGCCAGCAGGAGGCCAGTCCCTGTGCTCCTCAGAGTCCCAGCAGGAGGCCAGTCCCTGTGCTCCTCAGAGTCCCAGCAGGAGGCCAGTCCTTGTGCTCCTCAGAGTCCCAGCAGGAGGCCAGTCCTTGTGCTCCTCAGAGTCCCAGCAGGAGGACAGGCCCTGTGCTCCTCAGAGTCCCAGCAGGAGGACAGGCCCTGTGCTCCTCAGAGTCCCAGCAGGAGGCCAGTCCCTGCTCCTCAGAGTCCCAGCAGGAGGCCAGTCCCTGTGCTCCTCAGAGTCCCAGCAGGAGGCCAGTCCCTGTGCTCCTCAGAGTCCCAGCAGGGGGCCAGTCCCTGTGCTCCTCAGAGTCCCAGCAGGAGGCCAGTCCATGCTACAGTGGCTGAGCAGACTCGCCTCAGAGAAAGACGTTTGTGGCTCTTTCTCAGTGGAGTTTGCGAGTATCTCCGGTTTTCCCAATCGCCCAAGACAGGCTCCATTTACCCTGCAAAAGTGATGAAAAATAAATCAAAAAATGCTCAAAATGATCTTGTTTTAAAATGTAGGTCTGTTGGGCAGTTAATGTCCAACACAGAGGATGTGATGATCCAGGACACTTTAACATACAACATTTATCAACACGTGTTCTATTTACTTTTTGTGTTTTAACTGTTGGTCTCTGACCTGTGTTGGTGATTTCAATGGTTTTGTTAAGTCTCTGAGAGGATGCTGTTGTGATTCAGGGCTATACAAGAATAAGTTGTATTGTATTGTATTATATTGTGTTAAAGTGATACAAGAAATGTCTCCCTTGGAACGAGAAAAGAAAAAAAACACTTCTTGAAATAAGTCTAAATTGGTCCCATTGGAGAATCTAGTTTTAACACAGTCAGAATGTTTTATTGAGATAAAAACCGATCATAGCAACTATTACCCCATACTTGATGATTTTGTGGTGTTTTAAAGCCTCCAGTTCCAGTTGTCCAGTGGAAGAATGGGTCAAAATTCCCTCCTCCTCCTACAGGGACATTATAGAGCACTGTACCTTTGTATTTCCACACGTTCCAATTATTCTGACTCCAACTGTTCACCTCCTGCTCTGTCTCACACAGTCCACCATCTTGTTGCTTCATCTCTCTCTCTCTCTCTCTCTCTCGCTCTGTTCTCACTCACCCCCATTGTCTCTTCGTCCCTGCCTCTCTGCTCTTTTCTCACCTCTCCAGATAACTCCTTCTCTCTCCTTCTCTGTCTCCCTCCTTCTCCCTCCTTCTCTCTGCTTCTCTCTCCTTCTCTCTCTCCATTGCTCTGCTTCTCTTTCTGTCTCTCTCCTCTCTGCCTCTCCCTCCTTCTCTCTCCTTCTCTCTGTCTCTTTCCTTCTCTCTGCTTCTCTCTCCTTCTCTCTCCTTCTCTCTCTGTCTCTCCGTCTCTCTCCTCCTCTCCGTCTCTCTCCTTCTCTCTCTGTCTCTCTCCTTCTCTCTCTCCTTCTCTCTCCATCTCTGCTCTTTCCTCGGCTCTCCAGATAACTCCTTCTCTCTCCTTCTCTCTCTGTCTCCCTCCTTCCCTCTGCATCTCTCTCTGCTCTTTTCTCGCCTCTCCAGATAACTCCTTCTCTCTCCTCTCTCTGTCTCTCTCCTTCTCTCTCCTCCTCTCTCCTTCTCTCTCCTTCTCTCTCCTTCTCTCTCCTCTCTCTGTCTCCCTCCTTCCCTCTGCATCTCTCTGTCTCTCTCTGCTCTTTCCTCGGCTCTCCAGATAACTCCTTCTTTCTCCTCTCTCTGTCTCTCTCCTTCTCTCTCCTCCTCTCTCCTTCTCTGTCTGTCTCCCGCCTTCCCTCTCCATCTCTCTGTCTCTCTCTGCTCTTTCCTCGCCTCTCTAGATAACTCCTTCTCTCTTCTCTTCGCAGCTGGAGTGTGACAACTTCATCACGGTCATGCAGAAAGTGAACGACACATTCATCGTGTGCGGGACTAACGCCGGGAGTCCCAGGTGCTGGATGCTGGTAAGAGCTCGGTCCATAAAGGCTCATTAAGGCTCACCGTGACTTCTGCAGAGGAACCGTGGAACCACAGACGACACATTTTTACTTTATTTTGACTTAAAACTTGTCGCCAGAGTCTATTACAAGGTCATTTTCAACTTATTTGGTTCATTTTCAAGACATTTTCTCACAGGGTCATGGATTCTAGACTGAAAAAACAACCAATATCCATTAATCAGAATCAAAAATGGCTTGAAATTGTCCAATACATTGTCAGCAAAGAAGCCTGTTTCACATTCTCAGGAAGACTGTTCTAGATTTTAGCAGCACGAATCTGAATCGCTGCCTCCCCATGTTTAGTCCTGACTCTGGGACCAGCAGGAGGCCAGTCCCTGTGCTCCTCAGAGTCCCAGCAGGAAGCCAGTCCCTGTGCTCCTCAGAGTCCCAGCAGGAAGCCAGTCCCTGTGCTCCTCAGAGTCCCAGCAGGAGGCCAGTCCCTGTGCTCCTCAGAGTCCCAGCAGGAGACCAGTCCCTGTGCTCTTCAAAGTCCCAGCAGGCCGGTCCCTGTACTCCTCTAAGCCCAGCAGGAGGCCAGTCCCTGTGCTCCAGTCCCAGCAGGAGGCCAGTCCCTGTGCTCCTCATGGTCCCAACAGGAGGCCAGTCCCTGTGCTCCTCAGAGTCCCAGCAGGAGGCCAGTCCCTGTGCTCCTCAGAGTCCCACCTGTAGACCAGTCCCTGTGCTCCTCAGAGTCCCAGCTGTAGACCAGTCCCTGTGCTCCTCAGAGTTGGTCCATTTGGCTCTAACATGACACAGATGTTCTTTGAGGCCATAGAGAGACCTATAACAATCAGAGATCGTTTATAAATATTTATACATGTCCATAAAAGTAATTAAGTCCAGACTCCTGTGTCTCTGACTGTGGAGCTCTGTGTGCGTCTCGTTCTCGGCTGTTTCTGTTTTGTGCTAATGTCCCCAGTTTGAGACGCAGCGGAGACGGGAGGCGTTCACAATCAATGGCCATTAGCGTTCAGTTACTTCCTCGTTTCTCCGCCGCTCGCTGCAGACGAAGGCCGCCGCTTATTTATTAGGAACGGGGATGTTTTCGCTGAGTGAGTTTGGTGAGATGAGGAGGCAGTAATGAGGGAGAGACGGGAGCCAGCAATAACCACACGGCTCCATTACAACTTTAAGATGCACTGGGACTAAAGACTTCTACGGTATATAGAGAGAGAGAGATGTAGTTATAGAGGTGGGTGGATAGATAGATATGTGGATAGAAAGAGAAATGCAGGTGCAGTAACGCAAACAATAGGTTACAACATGATTCATTCAAGACAAAAAAAACCACACACAAACACATTGATGCACATTTTGGCACAAATGAAAAACACGTACAAGATATCATTCATTATATCAATTATTCAATGGAATGATTTTATTTGAAAAGGGACAAACATACACACACGGACACGCAAACACACCCACATAGTCTCACACTACTAAAAACAAATGCAATATGACACACACACACACACTGTAGGGTCCACACTGTAGGGTCCAACAAATGCAATATGACACACACACACACACTGTAGGGTCCACACACACACTGTAGGGTGAAGACTACACGGCTTCACTACACAGTGAAGCCGTGTAGTCGACGCTCACAAACCATAATCCATAGTGTATAAAGTGAGTGAATAAATCCATGGAACAGTAAAATGCAATTAAAAACTCTTTACTGAGTATTCACACACAAAACACACATACTGGACAAAAGGAAAAGGACATAAAGGACGAGGAGAGAATATAGCGAGAGAGAGGTAAAAAAAACTGTGTGGCTCCACTCCACACTCCACGCTTTCCTCTTAACTAGCCTCGGGGCCAGGACCGAGAAAAAATACAAAAATATATATTGAATCAAAATGAACCCATGATTAACTTTAGCAATAATGACTAACAAAATAGTCAACTAAAAATATAGCAAATTAAATCAATTGCCTAATAATCATAATTCTAATCTAAATCCGAAAAATAATGTATTTCAATCAAATAATAATACAAACAAAATAGAAATGTATCAAAATATAATCAAAACAACTAAACTTCTATTAACACACACATGAACTCTTATGGCATGAGACAAGACCAAGACACACACACACTACACAAACACACAGACACACAGACACACACACTACACTTAAAGTACGGAAATTACGGTACAACAGTTTTTTAGTTGGATTAAAATTAGTTTTCGTTTTCCTCTAACTTTCTCTAAATCATTCCAAAATCAGACCTTGAACCTGCTGCTTGCTCCTCTCTCTCTGTGTTGATATGATCCACTCTGATGTAGACAAAGAGCAGATGTGTTCCATAATAAAGCCACTTATTTACCGTCCAAGCAGAGATTATTCATTTGCAGAAAGTTGGTCTGAAATGAAAGCAAAACCTCTCAGTGGGAGACGCGTTTCTCTCCCCACACTGTGAAACCCTTTTGATTGCTTTGGCTCGAGTTAAAGCGTAAAAAAGAGGTCTGCCCAAAAATACAGATGCTCTGGACCAAGCAGGAGCCAAGACCTAATATGGGGTCATTTTGATATGATTTAATGAAGTGAATCAGATCAGAGTTTATTACGTCCAAAGGGGAATCTGTCCACGGCATCAGCTCTACGTCAAAACTGATCACAATGGACTCGACTCAAACCAACAGCAAGGCAGGTTTAATTGTATAGCACAGCTCATACACAAGGCAACTACATAAGGCCAGTCCCTGTGCTCCTCTGAGTCCCAGCAGAAGGCCAGTCCCTGTGCTCCTCAGAGACCCAGCAGGAGGCCAGTCCCTGTGCTCCTCAGAGTCCCAGCAGAAGGCCAGTCCCTGTGCTCCTCAGAGACCCAGCAGGAGGCCAGTCCCTGTGCTCCTCAGAGTCCCAGCAGGAGGCCAGTCCCTGTGCTCCTCAGAGTCCCAGCAGGAGGCCAGTCCCTGTCCGCCTCAGAGACCCAGCAGGAGGCCAGTCCCTGTGCTCCTAAGAGACCCAGCAGGAGGCCAGTCCCTGTCCGCCTCAGAGACCCAGCAGGAGGCCAGTCCCTGTCCGCCTCAAGAGACCCAGCAGGAGGCCAGTCCCTGTTCGCCTCAGAGACCCAGCAGGAGGCCAGTCCCTGTGGTCCTTAGATCCTACTAATTGGTTAAAGCAAAGGAAGGTTTCTCACCCATCATCTGTACTTCTTAGCAAGTTTTCCCGACGTTTCGTCCTCAACCTGGGGACTTCTTCAGGGAATGAATTCTCGGACCGCGCGTTGGAGATTTATAACCTATGGGTGTGGTAAGCCACACCCTAATCCTGATACTAACTCGTAAACAATCTCAGGTCTGCTTGATGTAGAAGGGAGCAGGTCTAACGACCCTGCTGAGGCTAACGACCCTAACTCCTTAGCATGTCACAGACCTATTGTCTGCTGGGATGCTCAAGTGGAGTGCAGGTTTCACCCCTCCTAACTCATTAGCATGTCACTGACCTTGTCCCAAGTTAGGGCGTTGTTTTTAGGATGTCGTCATAGATGCGAGGCAAAACAAATCTTAACCCTCCTCCTCTGTTAAGAGAAGGTTTTTGTTTCCTCACAAAAATGGCTTCTTTCACTCCTCTCTCAAACCAATTCTTCTCCCGAGCCAGAATTTTAACCTCTGTGTCATCCACCGTGTGGTTGGAGGCCTTCAGGTGGAGATGAACAGCCGACTGTGGCCCACTAGAGTTTTCTCTACGATGTTGGTAAAGTCGTTTCTGTAGAGTTTGTTTGGTTTCTCCAATATAGTGGTCAGTGCACTCCTCTTCACTACATTTAATTGAATACACCACATTGCTCTGTTTGTGTCTGGGTGTTTTGTCTTTGGGATGCACTTCCGTATGTGGCGGGAGTTTCAGAGAAACTACAAAGAATCTTTAGGCAACACAAAATCCCTGTGTATTTCAAACCTTTCAACACGTTAAGACAGAAATTAGTGCATCCCAAAGACAAAACACCCAGACACAAACAGAGCAATGTGGTGTATTCAATTAAATGTAGTGAAGAGGAGTGCACTGACCACTATATTGGAGAAACCAAACAAACTCTACAGAAACGACTTTACCAACATCGTAGAGAAAACTCTAGTGGGCCACAGTCGGCTGTTCATCTCCACCTGAAGGCCTCCAACCACACGGTGGATGACACAGAGGTTAAAATTCTGGCTCGGGAGAAGAATTGGTTTGAGAGAGGAGTGAAAGAAGCCATTTTTGTGAGGAAACAAAAAGCTTCTCTTAACAGAGGAGGAGGGTTAAGATTTGTTTTGCCTCGCATCTATGACGACATCCTAAAAACAACGCCCTAACTTGGGACAAGGTCAGTGACATGCTAATGAGTTAGGAGGGGTGAAACCTGCACTCCACTTGAGCATCCCAGCAGACAATAGGTCTGTGACATGCTAAGGAGTTAGGGTCGTTAGCCTCAGCAGGGTCGTTAGACCTGCTCCCTTCTACATCAAGCAGACCTGAGATTGTTTACGAGTTAGTATCAGGATTAGGGTGTGGCTTACCACACCCATAGGTTATAAATCTCCAACGCGCGGTCCGAGAATTCATTCCCTGAAGAAGTCCCCAGGTTGAGGACGAAACGTCGGGAAAACTTGCTAAGAAGTACAGATGATGGGTGAGAAACCTTCCTTTGCTTTGACTAATCCCTGTACGACTGAGGGCTTACACAAACTACTAATTGGTTCTCAACACGTTTGTATATTTTTACATCGGCCTCAGAAAGTCGCTCTTCGTCTCAAGTCCGTGGAGCTTGAATATTTCAGCAGAGCTTGTCCACAACTCTCTCAAAGATTGATGAAGTCGGATCTCTTTCTTTTCTCTTGGGTTCAGTGGATCTGGAGCTATAGGATCATCCCAGGACAGAGCAGAGCCTGCAGGGAGGGAGAGAGAGAGAGAGAGAGAGACAGAGAGAGAGAGAGAGACCAATCTCATAATAACAGGATGAGAGAGAGAGAGAGCGAGAGAGAGGACACCAATCTTGTAATAACTGGATGAGAGAGAGCGAGAGAGAGAGAGAGAGAGAGAGGACACCAATCTTATAATAACTGGATGAGAGAGAGCGAGAGAGAGAGAGAGAAAGAGAGGACACCAATCTTATAATAACTGACTAATTACAGCCTTGGCCACAGTTTGGATCAGAGAAATGTAATGAAAACGTTCAGATGCAGCGTTGCTGCTCCGCGACGTCTGCTCCGCGACGTCTGCTCCGAGTCGTCTGCTCCGAGTCGTCTGCTCCGAGTCGTCTGCTCCGAGGACCTGGATCTGAACATTGTCCGAGTAGAAGCCTGTCTCACATTTTCAGGAAGACTGTTGAATGAATGAATGAAGGAATAGCTCATTTCAAGCCATGCAGGACAAAGAACTTTGGTGTAAAGGCCATGGAAAGACCAAGCCCCGGTGATCCAGGATGGCGCCTTATTCAAATGAATGGCTTGTGCTCAGTAGTGCATGGGACTTCACAGAGACGGAAAGATTTGCAGAACTCGCCTGTATTTGGGCATCGTCTGGTCCTCCCGGTTCTGTGCAGTGGACGAGCTCCCATAATGCTTTGCGCCAAATACGCATGTGTGGCTCTCATGCACGAGCACAGAGGGGCTCGGCCACGCTTTGACCAATCAGAGCTGCTGATCAGAGCGGAGTTAGAGCGGGAGCCGGATGGGCAGAGTTTGTTGCAGTAAAGTGTGGATTTAAAAAAAAACGAAGGAGAAGAAAAAAAGTTCAGGATGACAAGGGACACAAAAAATTATTGTTTTGAATTTTTTTGTGTGAAACTTTTAGGTTCTCTTTCAGGTTCTCTGTCAGCTGAGGCTAAGCTGTTTTAGTTTACATTGAGTTCTATGGCACTTTTTTCTGTGTAGCCAGAGCGCCCCCTGTGCCCATGGGTGGGACAGCTATAACCTAGTAATACCCTATCCAATTATTGTTATACAGTAGATCCATGGGAAGGACTTGTACATCATTGCCTTTCCTGTATTCGAACTGATTGATTCTCTGATCAAATGTTGGTGAATCGACAACTTAGTAAAACCCTCCCAGACGCCTGCTGTTGTGATTTACAAAATTAAATTAAATGGATTTAAAGGTTTCTTTTTGTTGCCCGACCACATCCATGTTGTTACGGCTTCTCTCGCTGTCTGACTAATTGATGAAGAGAAAGGTTTTCGTCAACAATAACCTTGAATATCACAAAATCTTGCACTTAAAAAACAAGTCTTTTCATCCATTTTAATAGCATATCTTTTCCCCCATTAAACCAAATCCACAACAAAGATGACATTCTCGCGCCGCCGTCAGAAGTGCTTAAAAAGTAATTTCTCTCTTCAGTGCTTTGCGTGGAACCTTAGCTTGTTTGGATTGATTCAGGACGACATCTCGTTTTGTTCTGTCTGAAATGCATCAAGTCTCATGAGCGTTCCATTTTATCCAGATCTGCCGCACAATTAGGCAGTGTGTGTGGCAGAGGAGGCGGCAACACAACAGTGGGTTGTGGAGGCCGACACTATCACTACAGCCTCAACACAGGGTTAAAGCTCATGGTGTCTCATTCATATAAAGTCAAATATCTAAAATACCTAAATACAGCTTAAAGGTATTCATGTTTCACAGTCCATCCTGAGCACAAGTGTCGTAATGATTTGGACGGTACACCCATAGACTGTAAATATCAACAGACGCAGTCCCGCCTATCTCCGCCGTTGAAACTTTGCCTTATATGGAGCGATTTCAAAATGTCCGCGGGCAGCCCCTCCCGAAAACAAATTTGCTCATGCGTTACTACCTGCACCAGCCCCATTCATTTAACAAGTGCATTCTGAAGACCACATCAGCTAAACTAGACTGGCCTTGTATGTTAACAGAAGGATTTTATATTTCTATTCTATTCGTGGAGTGATTTCAACACTGGAGTTATGTGTTCCCTCCTTGCCGGGCCTGTTTAGATCCTTGCTGCAGTATTTTGGACGAGCTGGAAGCTTTTTACAGAGGATAAAGGTGCAGACTAGGAGCATGTAAAGTGCTGTGTACGGTTCTGGTTTTGAAGAGTCATGATCCTATGTCAGCGTCTGATGTAGCTGTTGACGTCATCGCAAAGTTTTGCAGTTTAGGATAATTATTTTCCCACTATCTCTAGGATGTCATGTTCACTCCTTAAAGAAAGAAATGTGTTTTTAGTTAATAAAAGTGCCTGGAATCAAGTGATAGAGATTTCCCCAATGAGGTAGATTTCAGCTCCAAGCTTCAAAGAGATGTTGTTACTCAAAAAGTGATCCACCAAATGGTTGCGGAAACCATTAAAGGGTTCATCTTAAAGGAGCAATAAGTAAAAATCCGGCCAAAAGGGGTACTGCAATCTCTTCCACTCTCCCTGACTCAGGTTGCCAGATATGCAGACGAATCCAGCTGAGACCATCAGAGTTTTGTCAACTACAAATCTATAACCAACGCCTTTTTCACAAAGACAGAAATCCTGTTTCTATTCCTTATTATGTCGTTTATGATTTGAGAATTATAACAAGACCTTTTTTAGTTCTGCAGCCACATGGTACTTTACCAGTTATATTAGCTCCATGCGGTGAGTTCTGGCAACCCGGATTACAGACTTTCTGATTGGTGAAACGGTGGAGAGCGGGGCATCGAAATGAGATTCAGGGGCTGTCAAACAATTTTAAATCCAAATATCTCTGAACTTCTGTCATTAGTTAAAGAAGTATTGGAAAAGAGCTGTTTTTATTAACACCTTTTGACAGATTAGGGCCCTTTAATGATGACTTGACATGAAAATCTTACATATTTCTACTTCATTGACTCCCTTAAAGGGGGATACTCGATCCAGTTTTCTCTTTGTGAAACTTGCACACTGAACAGATCCATCCCAAGTTTTAGATAAACGTTTTAAAAGCCATTTTAGCAGGTCTAGTAGAGTGCAGGACCTTTCCCAGTCGCAGTGCAGAGCCGTGCAGAGCCAAACAGACCGAGGCTACTGCTCTCTCCTCTGTCTGCAGCACTGATAATCCCAGAGGTGTCTCCTGAACATTAGCGGCAGTGACTTATCTCCCAAAGCAGAGATACCCGACATGTTGTGCTCTTTCATCTGGCCTGGGTCCGATCTCCGCACCAAAGAAACTCTAGTCTTGGGGCTGTTTCGCTTCCTGCTGTGATCCTGCCATTTATAAAACCATTGCCAGACCGGAGAATTGGATGTATCCCATTCATAAGATAAATGTTATTGTCCCCAAGGGAAATTTTCAGTGGCGTACAGTGCTACACAAATCTGCATTAAATAATAAAAGCCAAAACATGACAGTACATAAACAGAAAAGTCTCAGTTTGGTCCAATTCCATGTCCAAAATGATAAATAAGTCCTGCATAAAAACTGAAATTGTTCCTTTAGCTTTAGGATGTACTCATTATTGAAACCGGTGTATGGACTTTTAAGGAGATTCATGGACTTTGGTCGTCCCACTCCCTATGGACCAATGTCTCCTAAGTGTTTGTTCTCATTTCCTTTATGCAAACTGTTTGATTCTCTGATCAGTTGTGGGTGAATCATCAACATAGTAAAGCCCTCCGAGACGCCTGCTGTTGTGATTTAGAGCTGTACAAAATGAAATTGAATTGATTTAACGGTTTATTTTTTGTTGCCCGACCACATCCATGTTGTTTCCGCTTCTCTCGCTGTTTGACTAATTGATGAAGGGAAAGTCTTTTCATCCATTTTAATAGCGTTTCTTTTCCCCCTGTAAACCAAATCCACAACACATTCAGAAGATGTTCTCGCGCCGCTGTCAGAGGGATTGAGCGCTCTCTGTGATCCTGGTGTTTATATTTTGAACTTGTCTTGATAAATCCAGATATGACCCATACAAAGATTGACCAATAAGATGCCTTCATTCGCTGGTGAAACTCCAGCTTGCCTTAGCAACAACGTTAGCAACACTTATGCCCCTGTTACAACCCAAAGTTGATTGGGTCGTAACAAAATGCCCATATCAGAGAATTGGCTACAGCTAGTTGATTTCCAACTGTATTTCCAGCTTCTTCTGCATTCAGACAAAGCAAGTAAGTAAGTAATCATTATTTATGTATTGCCAGTACAGGAGGTGCATGCCAGACCTATTGTACATGTTTTTAGTGGTAGGGGAAACCGGAGTACCCGGAGGAGTCATGGGGAGAACATGTAAACTCAGAAAGGCCCTGTTCCAACCGGGATTCGAACCCAGGACCTTCTAGCTGAGAAGCGAGAGTGCTATCCACTGAGCCATCGTACGAACCATGATCCTCTTTCAGCTGACCAGAGAAGTCACTGAGATACTTTATCAATGAACCAAGAAATATTTCCAGTCCCTACATCACATTTCTTAATCGTCTTTCCAGATCCTAAGACCTCTGCCACTCGGGATACAATGGGATCATAGTTCATACTAACAACAGCAACCACTTCCTCACTCCTTGAATAAATTATATTCCTTACTTCATCACTGTAATTATTGTTTGAGAATGAAATGTGAATTTGAATAACAACAAATCGACAAATGACCAATTATTGCTATGCATAAACTTTATTTAATCAGCCTAGAATTTAACTGTTAGAAGACCGACACTGGGATAACTTATATGGGATATCTTAATGAAAGCAACATGTGTCTCCTCAAAAATTGTTCGAAGTATTGTTAAAAGACTTGGAACATCTTCAAGAAAGCAACGTAAGGCTCCTCAAAAATAATTCAAAGTTCTGTTAAAACACTGGGAACACATCTTCAAGAAAGCAACTTGTGTCTCCTCAAAAATAGTCAAAGTGCTGGTCCTCTGGGGTGGGCCTCCTTAGAAGGTAAAGGCCCTCCTCAACCTGGAGAAGAGCCGTGACAGAGCAGACTTGGGACGCTTCTGGAAGGATCTCAGTTCAGCGTTTATATGTTTCGCTGCAGCCGCTTCAAATGCAGCTGTGTCGTCCTCTCGAGCCGCCCTCAGGACTGCGTCTGCCGATCCATATTCTGCAGAGAGACGTTTGGCGGCGGCTTTACCGACTTTCTCTAAGTTCTTCAGCTTTATCTGGCAGATTTCATCCAACTCCAGCTGCTGCTTGATGCTGTAATGCAGGCGCGCACCCATTAGACTGGCGTTACGGTGGTCTTTGGATCCAGCCAGTTTGAACAGTTTTTGGGTCAGTGCGCAGGTGATGAAGAAGGAGCCTTTGAGGACAGTTGGAGAAATCCTACTTGGTTCAGTCGACGTGTCCGTTGATGAACTGCTTTCTAAAGACTCAGAGATATCCTCAGTGATAATTTCAGGTTGTGACGTAGCACTAACCGTGTCAGTGACCACTGTCTCTTGAGTCCTCAGAGAGGTTAAGTCTTCCAAAGGACTTGTTGGGCCATTTACATCTGTTTCTTCAAAGTTTGTGGTGTTGTCGTCATCAGACTGGTCAAGGACTTTGTGAACTGTTTCCTCCTTGTTTTCAGTCTGTGAGACTTCTGGTGACTGTTCCTGGTCACTCAGAAGTGCTGCTTGGTCAGCACCATCAGCAGAAGTGTCTTCGCAGGTTTCTAGATAAACAAACTCCTTGGGAGGTGTCTGAACCTCCTCCTCAATGTCATCTAAGAAAACCTCTGCTGCTTCGTCCTGAGCAGCAGCAGAAGACAGAACAGTTGTGTCGTCTGTTGGGGTCTGGATCTTCTCCGTCTGAAAGAAGTCGTCTTCAGCAACAGAATGTTCTTGGTCCTGTTGTGACTCGTCAACCTTCTCGTGGACATCAGTCTTTGTCCCTTGAGTCGTGTTTGCTTGTGTCCACCCGTCCATTTCTGGTGTGGCATCTTGGGGAACATCACAAATCATTACCTCCTCACTTACAGTCTGTGTGAGTACTGGTGACTGTTCCTGATCCCTCAGAAGTTCTGCCTGATCAACAACATCAGTAGCGGTGTCTTCAGGGGTCTCTACAAACACAAAATCCTCAGGAGGTGTCTGAACCTCCTCCTCAATGGCGTCCAGAAGTGCTGCTAGTTCAACAGCATCATTGGAAGTGTCTTCACAGGTTTCTAGATAAACAAACTCATCGGGAGGTGTCTGAACCTCCTCCTCGATGTTATCTAAGAAACCCTCTGCTGCTTCGTCCTGAGCAGCAGCAGAAGACAAAACAGATGTGTCGTCTGTTGGGGACTGGATCTCCTCCGTCTGAAAGAAGTTGTCTTCAACAACAGCACATTCCTGGTCCTGTTGTGACTCGTCAACCTCGTCATGGACATCAGTCTCCATCTCTGGAGTTGTGCTGGCATCACGGGGAACATCACAAATCGTTACCTCCTCACTTACAGTCTGTGTGAGTACTGGTGACTGTTCCTGGTCCCTCAGAAGTTCTGCCTGATCAACAACATCAGTAGCAGTGTCTTCAGGGGACTCTACAAACACAATCTCCTCAGGAGGTGTCTGAACCTCCTCCACAACAGCATCCAGGAAAACCTCTGCTGCTTCGTCTTGGGCAGCAGCAGATGTGTCCACAGATGTGTCCTCTGTTGGGGACTGGGTCTCCACTGACTGGATGGAGTCGCCTTGAGCTACAGAACATTCCTGGTCCTGTTGTGGCTTGTCATCCTTGGGGACCTCCTCAAGAACATCAGTCTCTATCTGCTGAGATGTGATGTCTTCTTTGGGTCTCGGCTCTGGCTCCTTGACTACAAAGTTGTACCCAAACGTGTTGAGAACTTTGGAAGCCGCATTCCTTTTAGCGTCTTTCTTGTCCAAGCCGAGTCCCACCGCAGGCACGTCCGCCACGGTGACCTGGACGTAGAAGATCCAAGGATTCGACTGTTTGTCCACGTCCACAATCGTGTACTTGGGAGGAATCCCTTTCATGTTCACCACGATTATATCAAGACAAGATATGGGGTTATCATCGTCTTTGAAGGTGGGAAGTTCTCTCCAGCAGACGCCAGTGCGTTTCTTCTTCTTCTTCTCGTCAGACGGAAGAGGAAGACGTCGCAGCTCTGGGAGAACTTGTTGAGCACAAAGGTGTTTAGCTTCTGAAGCGGTGGGTCCTTTAGCGTCTGCACTAAAGTCACCGACTGTCAGACGATATGTGAAAATGGCGTTATGGATTGGTCCATCTTTCTGCACCATCCACAGCCTGGCTTCCATACCATGCTTCCTAGCTAGCTCAAAGACCTCGCAGACCTCATCTTTGTAATTGATGTCGATCTTTTGAGGCAAAAACAAAGTGGATGCGTAAGAACTTTCCATCTCTGTAGAATATAGCAAACTCGAATGGCTTATTGTGAGTAGTTTTGTATCTAACTGTATCTCGACCGTAAACCCGTCTCGAATCGAAGTAAATTGACTCTCTTGGGTCCATGCCCCTAGCCGTCTTGGTTATCAAGCAATGACATCACAATAGAAGACAGTTACCATGGAAATTCTGTTGCCGTCGAGACAATGGAACTCCTTCAGAATTCCAGAATCCCAGTGTGTTCTAAATTGACAGTGAATCCATTTTACATTTTTTATTACTGTAGTACTTTAAGTAATATTGGATTTATATTGATAATGCAAAATTGGAAGAATAAAGAGAAAGATGAAAATTACACACTTTTCTCCCGTATGTGTGTAAGTTCATTAATATTCTATTCATGTTGATCAGTGATTTTGTTCAACATTCCCATGACACAAATAGCGTCATTTCGTTCTCACAATAACATTACTGCTTTGGATTGAACGTTCTACATCAGACACATATGGTCACATTCTGCTGCCCCCAAACTGTGGAATAGTGACCTCTGTTCATCAGAGCAGCTCCTTCATTGGATGGTTTTAAATCTAGTCTAAAGACACATTTTCACTCCTTGGCTTTTACACCGATTGAGTTTTACCATTTTACTTTTACATGTGTATGTTTTTATACCGTTTTCTTCTCTTTTTTTGTCTTTTGTTCCTGTGAAGCACTTTGGACAGCTGGTGTTGTTGTAAATGTGCTATACAAATACATTGACGTTGTGTTTCCATTTTCTCCCGCTGTATCCATTGCCGAGTCACGGAGGCAACAGTTTAAGCAGAAACGCCAAGACCTTTCTATCCACAAACAGATAGCCTATATTTTCTTTTTTATGGACTAATTTACAGCAGGATCTGACACCAACCATCCCTGTACAGACAAGACAGTACAATATTCTCCATCTGAGTCTCTCCCTGAGTCTCTCTGAGCCTATCTCTGAGTCTCTCCCTGAGTCTGCCACTGAGTCTCTCTCTAAGTCTCTCTCTGAGTCTCTCCCTGAGTCTCTCCCTAAGTCTCTCTCTGAGTCTCTCTCTGAGTCTCTCTCTAAGTCTCTCCCTGAGTCTCTCACTGAGTCTCTCTCTGAGTCTCTCCCTGAGTCTCTCTCTGAGTCTCTCTCTCTGAGTCTCTCCCTGAGTCTCTCTCTGAGTCTCTCTCTCTGAGTCTCTCTCTGAGTCTCTCCCTGAGTCTCTCTCTGAGTCTATCTCCCTGAGTCTCTCCCTGAGTCACTCTCTGAGTGTCTCTCTGAGTCTCTCTCTGAATCTCTCTCTGAGTCTCTCTCTGAGTCTCTCCCTGAGTCTCTCTCTGAGTCTCTCTCTGAGTCTCTCCCTGAGTCTCTCTCTGAGTCTCTCTCTCTGAGTCTCTCCCTGAGTCTCTCTCTGAGTCTCTCTCTGAGTCTCTCTCTGAGTCTCTCCCTGAGTCTCTCTCTAAGTCTCTCTCTGAGTCTCTCCCTGAGTCTCTCCCTGAGTCTGCCACTGAGTCTCTCTCTAAGTCGCTCTCTGAGTCTCTCTCTGAGTCTCTCTCTGAGTCTCTCTCTGAATCTCTCTCTCTGAGTCACTCTCTGAGTGTCTCTCTGAGTCTCTCTCTGAATCTCTCTCTGAGTCTCTCCCTGAGTCTCTCCCTGAGTCTCTCTCTGAGTCTCTGTCTGAATCTCTCTCTGAGTCTCTCCCTGAGTCTCTCCCTGAGTCTGTCCCTGAGTCTCTCTCCGAGTCACTCTCTGAGTGTCTCTCTGAGTCTCTCTCTGAATCTCTCTCTGAGTCTCTCCCTGAGTCTCTCTCTGAGTCTCTCTCTGAGTTTCTCCCTGAGTCTCTCTCTGAGTCTCTCTCTGAGTCTCTCTCCGACTCTCTCCCTGAGTCTCTCTCTGAGTCTCTCTCTGAGTCTCTCCCTGAGTCTCTCCCTGAGTCTCTCTCTGAGTCTCTCCCTGAGTCTCTCTCTGAGTCTCTCCCTGAGTCTCTCTCTGAGTCTCTCTCTGAGTCTCTCCCTGAGTCTCTCCCTGAGTCTCTCTCTGAGTCTCTCTCTGAGTCTTTATTTATAGAGTTCTTGTTTATCTTGTGCCGTGTGCTCCTCATTCCTGCTGTTCAGTAACTGCTGATGCAACACTGAAACTTTCCCACTGTGGGACAAAAAAGGATCGCTTCATCTCTTCACCTAAACCTGTTACTTACTCTTGAAATATACTGCATATATTGTACTTCATTTGACTTTGAGAGAGTTTAAATCCTCTAAATTCCTGAAGACCTCAGACGCCAAAACAGGGCAGTGTGCCCCGGGGCACCTGCGGCTACAGTCGTTTATCATCACAGTGTATGGAGTGCATTAATAACGATAATGTGAAAACTGATTCATTATGAGATTACGTTTTCTTTGTTCACATCAATAGATTATATCGTTTCCATAGCAACACATACAATAATAATAATGAATAATAATACATCAAACTTGTTTGTGCTTTTTTGGACTCTCAAAGACGCTTCACACGGGGAATAAACTACAATAAAAATAAAAAGGGAGATTAGAGTTTAACTGTAACTGCAAATTCTGTGCTAAACGTTTCATAGCTATATTAATACATATACAGTGCCTTGCGAAAGTATTCGCCCCCCTTGAACCTTTCAACATTTTGCCACATTTCAGGCTTCAAACATAAAGATATAGAACAAATTTTTTTTGTCATGAATCAACAAGTGGTACACAATCGTGAAGTGGAACGAAATTTATTGGATAATTTAAACTTTTTTAACAAATAAAAAACTGAAAAGTGGGGAAACTTTCAGTGCAGTAAACTCAGTCCAGAAGTTCAGTGAGGATCTTTGAATGATCCAATGTTGTCCTAAATGACTGAAGATGATAAATAGAATGCACCTGTGTGTAATCAAGTCTCCGTATAAATGCACCTGCTCTTTGATAGTCTCAGGGTTCTGTTTAAAGCGCAGAGAGAACCATGAAGACAAAGGAACACACCAGGCAGGTCCGAGATACTGTTGTGGAGAAGTTTAAAGCCAGATTTGGATACAAAACGATTTCCCAAGCTTTAAACCTCTCAAGGAGCACTGTGCAAGCAATTATATTGAAATGGAAGGAGTATCAGACCACTGCAAATCTACCAAGACCCGGCCGTCCCTCCAAACTTTCATCTCAAACAAGGAGAAGACTGATCAGAGATGCAGACAAGAGGCCCATGATCACTCTGGATGAACTGCAGATAACTACAGCTGAGGTGGGAGAGTCTGTCCATAGGACAACAATCAGTCGTGCACTGCACAAATCTGGCCTTTATGGAAGAGTGGCAAGAAGAAAGCCATTTCTCAAAGATATCCATAAAAAGTCTTGTTTAAAGTTTGCCACAAGCCACCTGGGAGACACACCAAACATGTGGAAGAAGGTGCTCTGGTCAGATGAAACCAAAATCGAACTTTTTGGCCACAATGCAAAACGATATGTTTGGCGTAAAAGCAACACAGCTCATCACCCTGAACACACCATCCCCACTCTCAAACATGGTGGTGGCAGCATCATGGTTTGGGCCTGCTTTTCTTCAGCAGGGACAGGGAAGATGGCTAAAATTGATGGGAAAATGGATGGAGCCAAATACAGGACCATTCTGGAAGAAAACCTGTTGGAGTCTGCAAAAGACCTGAGACTGGGACGGAGATTTATCTTCCAACAGGACAATGATCCAAAACATAAAGCCAAATCTACAATGGAATGGTTCACAAATAGACGTATCCAGGTGTTAGAATGGCCAAGTCAAAGTCCAGACCTGAATCCAATCGAGAATCTGTGGAAAGAGCTGAAGGCTGCTGTTCACAAACGCTCTCCATCCAACCTCACTGAGCTCCAGCTGTTTTGCAAGGAAGAATGGGCAAGAACACCAGTCTCTCGATGTGCAAAACTGATAGAGACATACCCCAAGCGACTTGCAGCAGTAATTGCAGCAAAAGGTGGCGCTACAAAGTATTAGCGCAAGAGGGCCGAATAATATTGCACTCCCCACTTTTCAGTTTTTTATTTGTTAAAAAAGTTTAAATTATCCAATACATTTCCTTCTACTTCACGATTGTGTCCCACTTGTTGTTGATTCATGACAAAAAATGTAATTTTTATATCTTTATGTTTGAAGCCTGAAATGTGGCGAAAGGTTCAAGGGGGCCGAATACTTTCGCAAGGCACTGTATGTTAGCTATATTATTACATATATGTAAACTATATTATTACAGAAAAAGTGTCATAAAACAATGGATCACCTGCCTTTTGAATGTAAATGTATGAGATAGACTTTATTGATCTCACACTAGAGAAATGTACACGTCACATTTGGCAAAGATAGAATTGTGTGAAACAGGTTAAAGATAAAGTCTGTGCAGGAGAAAATTCTGTACAATGAAAAAGTGACAATAGCAGTGTATTGTGTTCTCGCCTCATTCACGTGTCCTGTGTGTGTGTGTCTGTGTGTGTGTGTGTGTGTGCTTGTGTGTGTGTGCGTGTGTGTTTGTGTGTGTTTGTGTGTGTGTCTGTCTGTGTGTGTGTGTGTGTGTGTGTGTGTTTGTGTGTGTGTCTGTGTGTCTGTCTGTGTGTGTGTGTGTGTGTGTGTGTGTGTGTGTGCCGGACTAGAACCTAGTCCTGGTCTCAGGTCTCTGCACCTGTAGGTCAGAGAATAGATTTTAAATCAGCTTTGATTGTTACAAGTCTCTCCATCGCCTCAAAGTACATCTGTGACATGTTTGTACCATATGACAGGAGCACAGGGACTGGCCTCCTGCTGGTCCCAGAGTCAGGACTATGATGAGACAGAATCAGATTCATGCAGCTAAAATCTAGAGCAGTCTTCCTGAAGATGTGAGACAGGCTTCTTCTCTGACAAAGTCCAAACTCAGGTTAAAAACACAACTGAAGGACTGTGTCTTTACTCTTTCTAATGTGCTGTGATTATTTATTATTTTCTTGCCTTGTGTGACTGTGTCTTTATGGTTTTGTTGATCCTTCGTGTCTCTGTGTGTATGAACTGTGCTACACAAAAAAACTTGCCTGATGTTTCCATTTGCAGTTGTTGTGATAAAACTACATCACAGTTTGTGCGTTAACAAAGTCGTCTGAAGATTGAACTTGTACCTTTGCTTCTTCAGCCTCTGCCTCGGTCTCAGCGACACTAAATTAATGTGTTTGGCTTCGGCCCAGAGTCGCTGCTGCAGACCAGACCAGTCCAGGTCTAATCCCAGACTAAAGGCTTGTTCACACTGAGGAAAAATATGTGGTTTTTTTACTCAATAATCCAGAGTCGCCTTTAAAGTTTTTAGAACTAAGTATTTAAGAGTCCTGCATCAATGTTAAAGTAGATTAGACATGCAAAGTTTGATCCTAGACTAGTCCTTGTCCAAATTCTAATCCTCGTCTTAGTCCGCGTACTAGTTCTAATCCTAGTTCTAGTCCTAGTCCTAGTCCAAATCCAAGTCCTTGTCCTAGTCCTCGTCCTTGTTCTAATCTTAGTTCTAGTCTTATAGTCCTATTGCTGGTCCCAGTCCTCGTCCTAGTCCTGGTCCTAGTCCCAGTCCCAGTCCTGGTCCTAGTCCCAGTCCCAGTCCTGGTCCTAGTCCCAGTCCCAGTCCCAGTTCTTGTCCTAGTCCTAGTCCTTGTCCTAGTTCTTATCCTAGTCCTAGTCCTAATCCTTGTGCTAGCCCAAATTCTAGACCCAGTCCCAGTCCTAGTCCTAGTCCTAGTCCTAATCCTAGAGCTCTAACCCTGTTGGCTTTAACACTGGTCCTGGACTTTTAATTATTAATAATAGTTTTAATAATAATGTTTTGGTTTTAAACTGCAGTTTTTTGGACACGCTTCATATCAATCAATGCATCAAATGTGATTTATTAAGCGCTTAAAATGAACACAAAGTGCGGTAGTCCAATTAGTCTCACTCTCAGTCGTCATGAATCAGAGTCCGATCACAAAGGGGCGTTTATGGCCTTCCTGCAGCCAATCAGAGCGCAGCTGTGGAATCCATCCAATCAATGAGCCTCAATACTGCCCCGGAGTCTGCGGGGATCAGCAGCTAGCTTCAGATGTGCTGAGCTGGCGCCTGGTCTCTCCGCTCAGAGCTGTGGGAGATGCTCTTTTTAATGGAAAGTAAAGACAGGAGTCAAAACATTGTGGAGGCTAATGCTATGGCTAACACTGGTATTGCTATGGTAACAGCAGGGAAGGAGACTGACGGGCCGGACGTGTCGAGGGGTCCAAGAGTCTGACATAGATTAATGTGAAGCAATTTTAATTGTATATAGCACAGTTCATACTCAAGGCAACTTGCAGTATCACACTACAATAAAAATAACAGAGATAAAATCCTTAAGTCGTTGCAGCGAAACTGTTTTAACCTGGAGAAGAAGCCTGTCTCACATTTTCAGGAAGACTGTTCAGGATTTTAGCTGCACAAATCTGAAACGCTGCCTTCTCATGTTTAGTCCTGACTCTGGGACCAGCAGAAGGCCGGTCCCTGTGCTCCTTAGAGTCCCAGCAGGAGGCCAGTCCCTGTGCTCCTCAGAGTCCCAGCGGGAGGCCAGTCCCTGTGCTCCTCAGAGTCCCAGTAGGAGGCCAGTCCCTGTGCTCCTCAGAGTCCCAGTAGGAGACCAGTCCCTGTGCTCCTCAGAGTTGGTCCAGATGGCACTAACATATCACAGATGTACTTTGGTGCGAGGCCATGGAGAGAGCTCTGAGCCACAGAAAGCCAGTGCAAAAACTATTTACTAAAACAAAATAAAATCTCTGACTTTAGCGTAATAAAGAAACCAAGACCTCTCTCTCTCTCTGTGTTTTATCCTTTCAGTAAAATCCATTATAATTATCCATCATCTTCCGTCAATACAAACAGCTGCGTGGATAGATCGGTTCAGAACAGGCCTAACCAAAAGAACAATCAAAACCGGACTCGGAGGCGCGAGACAATTAGCGCCAAATCCTCCATCATTCTCCTCGGCAACAGGTCTGACATGTGCGCCTCGGTCTGAGCTCTCTCGTCTCACCGTCTGCTCCTCCGCCGTGCGTCCTGGCCTCTCGCTCCTACACACTTCACTCCCCCATCATCCAAAACGCACGCTCTCCCTCCTCCTCTCTCCCTCTCCTCCCTCCTCCCTCCTCTCACTCTCTCCATCCGAAACCCAGGCGTGCGTCCAGAGAGGAGACTGGAGAGAGAAGGAGGTGTCAGAGGCAGAGGCAGAGGCAGCGCGCTGGTCTGGTCTGTGAGGTCTGCGTGTGTGTGTGTGGATTTTAGGGGTTGACGTCCCAAGAGGAGAACAAAACGCACGACGATCGCTGCTTTAAATATTTTTTTTGGAACAAGGAGGACGCGAGAAGACAACGCTATTTACAAGCATGAAATCGCTCGTCCTGTTGTCGCTTCTGGTCTCGGCTGTGGCGGGGAAGATGGCTCGGCTCAAATTCGTGGTGCACGGTAGGTCATTATTGGCTCGCGTTGTCCCGTTGGAGACCGGGTTTGGACTGGAGAACGAATGGATGGATTGGTACGGCTGTGAGAAGTGCTTTACTGGCAGTTTGAGGATGTGACGTTTTGGATTGTAAATACTGAAGCAAAGTGATGGGATAAGGCTAATTGTGCGTAAATATCACTAGCGCGTATCCAAAATCGACATTGAAGCAGTTTTTTAGCAACGTACTATGCGTCTTATTAGGTCTATTTGATAAATTCTGTGGTGTATACAAATGTATGCGTGTCTATGTAAAGCATGTGGACCTGTCCCAAGACACATTTCTCCTTTGATAGACACTAAATGAGAGCCGTTTAGTTTTTTATAATAATTATCGCTTGTTTTATTGGATTTTTACGCAGGGAAAAGAAAGCTATCCATGGGACTTCAGCAGTTTCTCCCGTTGATTCCTGCTAACTTCATCCCAGTCTCATCACCATCTGACATCACCATCACCTGTTTCTCAGTCCAGGCACACAGAGTGTAACAGGCGACCTTCTCCCGCGCTCACTATCAACGCGTAAAAACCGTTTTGGAGGAACATGGCGCACGCGTTCTCCTGTCCTTCTTTCATTCATTACTCTTCCCCCCCGGTCTGTCCTTTCCAATCCAAGCCTGTCATTTGGTAAAACGCATTATTAAGGTGAAATATGGCCTGAGTCTGTGGTGATGGTGATGGGTTTTTGGGGGGAGGTTGGGTTGTCGTTATTATGGCACGGGCTCGTAGAAGCTCGTCCTTGGATGAGCTGCAATGCGGGGCACGTAATGCAGTAGTAAGCAATAGTACAAGCAGGTTTTATAGTAGTGTGAGTAGAGCGCAGAGGTGGTAGTACAAATTACGCAGGGAAAATAAACAAGAAAGTTGAATATAAAGGCATGGAAACAGACGAGGAGATGACGCCAGCCGTGTTTGTGTGTGTTGTGCATTCAGGGCACGTTCAGGCTTCTCCTAATGTATTCAGCAATCAATAGCTCGCGGGGGGGAAAGAGAGGGGGGGGAGAGGAGGAAAGAGGGGGTGTCAACTTCATCTTTATCCACGAGCCTTCTCTCTGCTCTCCCACTTACGCACACGGTACACGCACAACACGCGGGGTCCAGAGTCAGACGAGACGAGACTGGGTTCAGCACCACGGACAGCTCCTGGGTGCGCGTACCCGAGTGGCCCCTGGTTAA